AATCTCTGGACCTACAGCTCAGCTGAAACACCTAAAGATCATGTAGTTATGCGTGATCGATGAATGGATGAAGCTGGTGGGGAAGGGAGAGGGAAGGCAGGGTGACATGGCAGGACGTGAGAAAGCAGCGCTGTTATTAGCATGTAGTCACAGATGGGATAAATTCAGAAAGTGATTTGTAAACCAGGCAGGGATGAGAAATAGCACCCCGAAACAGTAAGGCAGAAAGGGTCGGTGCTCCATGGAAGTCAGCAGAGCTATGTTGGAGGAGAGATTTCAAAATAAAACCCCAGTCCAGGGGCTGGGGATGGTATTGGAATATCCATTAAAAGAGAAAACATGATTAAAAATAAAAATTGCAGGTAGGGGTTTACAGTCTAATTAAAAAAAAAAAAAAGAAATGGAAGTAAGATTAGGGTTCACCATTTAAAATAAAATTATGCCCTCAGCCCTGCTTTCTTCTCAACCATCATTTTCTCCAGATAGCAAATGCTTTCATTAATAGAAAAATCAGTGCTTTGCACTGCCACAGACACTGCCAAAAGCCAGTTCAACAGCGGCTAGGCTTGCAGCACGCTGAAAGCGCTCAACCCAAGAATTTGCCACCTCCTTCCAATGAGGATTTATAACCTCATGGGCTTTTCAGGTGGTTTTGGGCCAAAGCAAAAGCTGTAGGCCGTCGGAAAAGGGTATGTAAACAAGCGACCTCATCCACAGCACCTCCCCTCCCTCCAGCTCTCGACGGGGCTGGGTTTCTGCTCCCTCATCCAGTGCAACGTGGACAGGAGCACGATGCAGCAGCCGCCTGCGCGCAGGGCGCTCACCGCACCAACCCTCTGCTCAAGGCGCTTGCGTACGTAGAAAACAAAAGCAAACTACCTGCTCCGTCCACATGACTTCACTGTCCATCTTCACATTTGCAAACGCTTAGCTCTCACGTCAGGCTAGTCTGAGGTCGGCAGCCGTCTAAAGGGAGTCAGACTGCGACAGCTCAGTTGTCCCTACGGCAGGCGTGGAAGTGGCGGCTCTAAGCAACACAAATCTGATTACGGTTGGAAGGGTGCTTCTTTCACTTAACTGTGCTTCTTATCGAGAAAACAAGATCAAGGAGGTGGTATTCGTCTTTAGCATTTATTTATCATTGGAAAAAAAACCCCTTTGAGCAAGCAAAGATCACAAGCACGTCACAATCAATTGGCTATACATTAATTTGTGTGTGTGTCTGTGTGTGTGTGTGTCATTCTCATTAGAACAGCAAGAATGAAAAAGCACCACGAGGAGGTGTGCTTAACACATTACAAGAGACAATTTGTGATATGCAACCAAACCCAGGCCACAAAATATTAATTAGACACTTCCTATCTGCCTCCAAGAGGCAAGAGTTTGTGGAATTCATGGGAGCCATGTTTTTACACCGGACGCGTTGCAAATGAAGAAGCAGGTGATCGGTGTGCAAAGCAGTCAGAAAACAGGAGCTCAGTCAGCAATTAGCACCATTTTGCAGAAAGGAGTAACAGTACAATACAGTGAAAATGAGAAAGCAAGCAATAGACAGCATAGGAACTTTCACAGGGTAAAAAGCAAAACATTTTTTTTTTTTTTTTTACAAGGAAAGCAAAACATATTAAAAATTAGCGGTGAAACAGAATCAGCATTGTGGTAGCTGGAAACACAGAACAGCAGAGCAATCTTTCCCAGTGGGATCGACAAGCTCAGAGTCCAAAGTGAACTTGAAACGGCAGAGATTTGGTCTCCTTTCTGATAAACCTGAGTGGGTCGGATGGGGATAAAGTCTGCGGAAGGTAGAGCAATGCAGGATTTCACCCTGAGGCCTGACTCTGCTGCAGTTCCTGGCATTCAATGCAATGCTAAACTGTGTGCTTGAATGTATGCTGAGGACCTGGTGCACATGGAGCAAAGGCCAGGATATAGGATTTATATCCCTATTTTGCTGCTGTCTGAGAGGGAGGTCCCCAGGCCCTACCAGTCTCCCAAGATCTTTTTTGCAAAGGTTGAAACTTGCCAAGGATCATTCATTCCACCCAAAGAGAGGTGTCCAAAATAGGTAGCTCAATGACCCTTGGAAAGTTCCTTCACTAGAGAGGGAATTTAGACCACTGGCTAGCACTTATACCTAGCTTTGTAGTTAGATGCTGCCGAAAACTTTGTGTATTAAGGAAACATAAGGCCATATTCTGACCACTCACTGTGCATGTTTCATTCAAACACCGTGACGGATGCTCTTCATTGAGAAGAAGCAACCCTGAAGCCCTAGATGATGAGCAGTTGATCCACAGTCATGGAGATGCTTAGGTGGTCTGAGCATCTTAATGATGTTTCTTGGGCAAAATTTGGTTACCCTTGAAGTCAAGGGCCAAACTCTCATCGAATTCAAGGTGAAATGGTGGCAAGCGTGCTATCTCTTTGAATGTGAAGCTTCAGGCCAAAGCATAATTGGGAGAATCGTTTGGCATGGTCTTTCCTTATGTACAGTGAGATCGGTGTGTTGGGGGCTATTGGTAACTGTCTACGTGCCTTCCTGACATATTCTGCCTGCTGTGACACGTCATCTTCACGCTGTTGCTATATCCTGCGATAGGAAAGGACGTTACTGAGGAGTGTGAAGATGGACGAAGCATCTAAATGCCAAGGAATCACACCAAGTCTCGGAAGCTCAGGCTTCTCTGGCCAGTTGTCCCTTGTGCGATGGGGTGGGAAGAGCTGTGAGTGGCACTTCTCTCCACCAGCTCCATGCAAGCCTTTCGCCGAGTTGCTCTGGAGACAGAGCTGAACTTTGCACTCGAGCAGTGCTGCAGGGGCTTCTGAGCACTCAGAAAAGCAATGGTCAATATGGACAGGTCAGCGTCTCCATGGAGCATGCACATCAAAAATGTACTACATTCGCAAAGATTTCCACAGTTTTACTTCCTGGAGGATTTCCCTGGTTTCCTCCTAAACATCGGAGGTTTAAATATATATATTTCTATATATGAATATATATTTTCCACATACACAACCTGACTAGCTCATAGCACACAGTTCTAACACAGCTAAGCTTGGAAATACACCACTGAATTCAGAACACTACACTTACTTATACTCAAAGCTTTAGGCTGTTAGCACAAGGCAAACAGGACACATCACACAATACACTGAACTTGGCATTTATTCATTACTAAGGCCAGCAAATGTCACTATCTGTATACCACAGAGCTGTCCTCCTTGGAAACGTTCTCTCAGCCTTGTAGCCCACCACTCATTTATGTTTCCAAAAAACCCAATTCTAACGGGGTGAGACACCAAAAACGGGACTCCTCACCCTCCCGGCCCATCCCTTTTTCTGTTAAATAGTTTCACATCTCTAAAATACCCTAGCAGCAAGACTTTCCTCAGTCAAACACCTCTACAGCAACACAGTTCTGATACTCTCCTCTTACACCATCTCCTTACTCTATTTCCCATCTCTCCCTCTTTGTTCTTCCCAATTGTCTGTTCTCTGAAAGTTTCAAGCTGGACTGCGTGTTAGGATAGAAATATTGAGCTGCAAAAATAAAGAAGAACCCTGCATCTCGACTTGCAGCTACTCTGCTACAGGAGAGTTTAACAGCTCAGTTTGGTGGGGTCAAGATTAACCCTTACGTATTTAGGACCCAATCCAGGAGTTAGGCACATAAATTTGGATTGGGACCATACCTCTCCCAGCTCTCATTGACTCAACAACCCAAATTTTGGGGTATGCAATGCCAGTCTGTTGGGCCAGTTCATACTCGCTGACAAATGGTCCCGCTGTGTTTACAGCTTCCAAACTGGTCTTGCTGGGCACGAGGATTTTCTAGAGTAAGAGCACAGTAAATAGGATTGAAACCCTGAGATCTTCCCTGGAGGGAGTCTGGGGATCCCAGCAACTGGTTTATGGCCCTCTTAGGATGCTTACAAGCCAACATGAACTCCAACAGCTGGTAGAGTCAAAACAACGGGGGCCGACAGCTCTAGCCAACCTTGGTGACTTATTTCTACCCCTTGGAAGGCCACGTCTGCAAACTAAACCTCTTTCTGAAATCTAGCTCTGTCTACTGGCACCCCAGAAGTGAAGAAAGCAGACCAAGATTCAAAACAAACCAGGAATAACTAAAAAGATCCATAACCAAGGGAAAACAATAGAGAAGAACAGCCTGCTGATAACCTAGTCTGACCTGCCACATGCTTGGGAAGTCTTCACTGCTCTCTGCGCCTTCCCTCACTCCTTATTATTTATTTTTTTTTAAATCAAGTCTTTTGAGTGGTGTTGATGGGTGAAGCTGCCTTGATGCACCTACAACTATCCCCCAGCTATTCTGGAGGGAAGATTTGGCCCTTTATTTGCACAGGATCTCCTTCCCTGTTGCTTCTTGGAGTAAAATTCTCACCAGTGTCACCAGGGGAAATTGCTCTTGGCCACACCAATGATTCTAGCGGATTTATGGCAGATCCATGGCACCACGAATGAACCTCTGATCCTCCCTGCCTCCAAAACCTTTCACCTGCTGACACCAGTGGGAGATGACCAAACAATGGCCAACCCCAAAAGGGCCTTCATGGGATGAGAGCACAGACCCTCCATGGCTCGATGGGCACTTCCATGCCATCAAAGCGTTGAAGGACCAAGCCCGAGGAAAGGGACAGGCTGTTGGACGCAATCACGGTTGATCCATCACCTTCATCTCCTACGACCCCGCTTGTGCATTCCCACGTCCCTCACTCTGTGCAGAGCCGTGTTGTGCAGGCAAAGCAGAACAACCTGACCTCAGAAACAAGGATTCCCTAATCCTCCTTGGAAATAAAACAGAAAAGCTTCTAATACAATCAGAACAAAAAGCAGATTAGAAGCCTCTAATTAATTTTGTGGCCTTTATTTAATCAAAGGAAAAAAAAAGGAAGGAAGGAAGGAAAGAAAGAAAGAAGGAAAGAAAAGGGGGAAAAAAAAAAACAAAAGAAAGAAAGGAAAGTGCAGTGACATTTACTCTTTTGCCTCAGCCAGTTTATTGTTCATCTCTTTACTTTTCTCCTTGTCCTCTGGCTTTGCTGTGTTGGAGGTCTCGGCGCTCTTTTTCTTGGCAGCCCGGCCAGATGTAATCTGCTTGTCTTTGGCCTTTTTCAGGGGTTTATGGCTTGTTGCGGTCTTTTTTGGTTTGGAAGGCTTTACGCTAGGCTTTTCCACCTGCATGGAGGGCGACATGCAAAACGACAACACAGAGATGGAGAGAGAGAGAGAGAGAAGGACAGGTGGGAAACAGGATTTAGATCAGAAATGGCATGAATGTTACTTATCTACTCAGCTATGCCCTGCCATCTGACTTCAAGAGGGGTTTTGCAAGCCCAGAGGGGATTGTTTCTGGATTCGAAGCAAAGAAATGATGCTCAGGACAACGAGGCTGGTACGAATCCCCACATTTCTTGCAGGACGTGACTCCTCAAGTCTGCTTGTCCCCCATAGGTTGCTACAACAGATTGCTTGGGGTAGCTGGGGCACAGGACACTGAGTTGCACCTCAGCAAAGTCCACAACAGTGCCTTGTGTACACCTGGTTTCTACAGCCCCCAAAGCAGGGAAGATGATAGCTTCAAAATTAAGGAGGAACAGCAGCCTTCAGCTCCTCCATGCTGGCCCTGCCATCCCTTTGAGACCTCACAAATCTAAGGGCTTACAAACTCTGGGAAGGTCTAAAACTCCACAGATTGACTCCATTTTATATGCAGATCCTCCACTGCTCCTACAAAACAAGGCTGGAAAACATTTCAGCCCAGGTCCTTCTCGGCACATGTCCTCCATCTGATCAAAGCCAAAACGCGTACTGTCAAAATCTGTGGAGCGCTCTGAATTAATTGCAGATGAAGATCTGGCTCTTATCATCTATAAATGTTGTATCATGTAATGCTGGGTGCCTATAGTTTTGGAGGGAGAAAGAGAAAGCTGTCTAGATAATACCTGGGAAATGACAACACAAAAACCTTTTCATCTGGGCCCTACTCTCACTTCTTTACAGTTTGACATAGGGCAGTGTTGTCTCCAAAATGCATCAACCTGTACTAGAGCCGATAGAATCCCAGATGGTTTGGGTTGGAAGGGACCTCAAAGCCCATCTAGGTCCAACCCCCTGCCATGAGCAGGGACACCCTCCACTAGCCCAGGTTGCCCAAAGCCCCATCCAACCTGGCCTTCAACACTGCCAGGGAGCCAGGGGCAGCCACAGCTTCTCGGGGCAACCTGTGCCAGGGCCTCAGCACCTTCACAGGGAAGAATTGTTTCCTTCAATCTCATCTCCATCTCCCCTCTTTCAGTTTAAAACCATTACCCCTCGTCCTATGACTACACTCTGTGACATAGAGTCCCTCCCCTTCTTTCTTATAAGCCCCCTTCAGGGACTGGAAGGGGCTCTAAGGTCTCCCCGCAGCCTTCTCTTCTCCAGGCTGAACCAGCCCAACTCTCTCAGCCTGTCTCCAGAGCAGAGGTGCTCCAGCCCTCGCAGCATCTCCGTGGCCTCCTCTGGACTCACTCCAACAGCTCCATGTCCTTCTTGTGCTGGGGACCCCCAAGCTGGATGCAGCACTACAGGGGGGTCTCACCAGAGCAGAGCAGAGGGGCAGAATCCCCTCCCTCGACCTGCTGGTCACGCTGCTGGTGATGCAGCCCAGGACATGGTTGTCTTTCTGGGCTGCAAGCGCACTTGCCGGGTTATACTCAGTTTTTCATCCACCACCATCTCCAAGGTGGTTGGAAATGAAGATGCCGCATAGAGGGAATGAGAGCAGGCAGTGTTCAGCTCAGCCTTACTGTATTGGACATGTCGAACCAGGAGCAGTGATGGCCCTGGGTCCCTTCCACCACATTTCTCACCTTTGGCGGTTCTTTGTAGGGTTCACTGTAGAGAGTGCGTATCCTTCTGCGCTCCAGGAATTTGTTATCGGCTGGAGCAGGCTTACTGGTTTCCCCCTTGAATTGAGCGCTGTAACTGGTTTCATGAGTCATTTTCTCCTCTGGTGGCTTGTACTGGGCCTTCGCTTTTATAGCTTTCACAGGCTTGACATCTACCCAGGGTCTGAACTCGTTTCTGAAGATCAAAAAAGAAAGGCGTTCAGGAATTAAAGCAACAGGTGGTAATGTGGGAATGAAATCCCTCATTTCTCAGTGAGGTCTGCTTGGAAAGGGTTTTGCCTCTATCCAGTCAGGTTTACAAAGAAACTGACTCCCAACAGCTAATTTTGACCTCATCAAAACCCATTGACACATGAAGAGAAGTTGAAATGAAATTTGGTCTATTAAAATCAGACAGTCCTGGGAACCAGACAATTTTCTACTTGTGTGACAATGGTCAGGTACCCTCTGAAAAGCTGCCCTCAGACGTGACTGTGATCCCTTTTTTGAAAACATAGATGCTTTTTTGTCTCTACAGCTTCACCTCTGCACTGATGCTACCTGCAAGCAGCTCCTGACTCTTGCAGTTAGGGTGGAAAAGAATATTTAGAAAGGAACATCAAAACTCATGTTCTGCAACTCAACACAGGACACACACTTCTCAGCAAACTTCCCTGCAATCAAGCTAGCTGGGTGATTCAGAAATGTAAGGAGCCAAGATTTTCTATAGACATCCCTCACCCATGCCTGTAAGTAGTGAGTTGTATCATTTTGCCTATATTGCACCAAATTATGCAGAACGGCTTTTGTTAATTCCATAAAGGAATAATTTAAGATAAAGCTGTCTTAGATGTAAAGTCAAGCAGAGTAGGAAATGCACAGTTTATCAGGTATTGTAAGCTATGGCTTCTCTTTATTAGCTGATGGGGAATTTTCAAGCTACTTGAAAAAATAACACCATCTTTCATTTCTTTTGGACGGAGCTGTGACTTTTTGAGAGAAAAACCCAAACACATTTCAAAGATTTTTTAATATCTGCTGCACACATTCTGGTTCCCATCCACAGCCTCCTTCTCATGCATTTTTTAGTTCCTCCCAACAGAGCGCCAACATCTTTCTAGTTTTGAAGCAAACCATTTCATTTTCTCTCTAAAAATTGCCATTCATCTGAGAAGGGGGATGGAGAATCCCCAAGTGTGTTGCTACCTTAGATGGGTCATGCTCAGACACAGTCCCGGGCAGTGTTTAGATCCTTAAGACTCCAGTGCAAGCCAGGAGCTCTCCTAACGGTGGTGATACAAGCCCTCCACAAAGGGGTGAATCTTCCTTGGAAATCAAAGCCCTCGGCTTAATTTTGGGACCTCGAAGTTGCAGACCCTGTCCCTCCTGCCCTGTTCCACTCAACCATCTTTGGGTTGCGTTATTTGTTTTCAGCCTGGTTTATTAGGGAAATGAACTCTGTGAGGGCACTGCCAGTCAATCCCTTCCCATAATAGCTTTGAACATCTTAATGAGCTTCAACCAAATTTGACAAATGGTCATGGAGATATGCAGTTTTTACTTTTATGAAGATAAGCAGTTGGACAGAGGCTCAGGAAAGTTTCAGTATGGACATGCACACTTCATCGGTCATCAGAGGACCCACTTAGAGAGGGATCAGTGCACCTCCCTGCCCACCCAATACCACATTTACCATTCACATAATCCCACTGCAAAAACAGAAAAACCCCTTCTCTTCCAAGATAACTACTGGTGGCAATAATCTCCTAGGTGTGTTTCTCCTCCTAGGACACCTATGTTAAGGTCTCACCACATCTGCAGGGTGACTGTGTCCTTGTTGCAGATGATTCAGACTGGTCAACACAGCCAGTAGAGCCCTTCCCTATACCAAAGATGGGTGACTGCTGTAGGATGAGCTGAATGCCTCTTGGGGATCTGTCAACTGGCTAGATCTCCACTGATGGGAGAGCACATCTAGCACACATGAAGACACTCACACATACACCCCTAAATGTAGGTATCTTCACCTATGAGCCAAATCCCATCTCCAACTCTCCATTCTTTCTTAGTGTTGATTCTACCTACATCTACTTTTTATTTTCCCTGTATTTCTTCATTTCCCTCCCCCTCTTTTACTATTCAGCCCTCCTTGGGCTTGGATAATACTGCCAAAGGCCCAGGGATGCTGCCTGTTTGAAGGATGCTATTCTTCATGAAACTGTTTCACTGAACGAGCAATACATGAATGGGCTCGTCTGTGTCTCCTTCGTTCCTGTTCAGTGAATGTCACCCGTTTGTCCACAGATATTTCTCTGCAGATGACTGTTAAAATATCCCTTCTGCATGAAGAGTTGAGACAAAGGACGAGGAAGCATCTTTAAAGAACTGGATTAAAGATGTGAATACATTACTGACAAACTCAAAGTTCATCCTCAGCTCCTCAGAAGAGGCTTCATCCTAGGATCCACTTTTGGTCCATAAGTAGACTCTATGTTTTTAACTGCTTTCCAAAGGAAACAAAACCATGCACTAATTCCCTCTGTCCATGTCCATCTGTCACTCAGATCCCTCCCTAGCAACTTCTGAACCCATTATCTATTTTCTGTCATATTTGTGGCAGACGTAGAAGTCTCAGAGGTGAAAATTACAAGGTTTCCTCAAAATCTGTGAGTGGGCAAAAGAGGAACATCCAAACAGTGTTCTTCAACTGAGGCAAAGACAAGTAAAGTTAATTTTCTTACTTATTGTAAGGCCAGCTGGCCAACCAGCCCACATGGGCCACCAGGGCCACGCACAGCTTGCATCTACAGAACCAGACACAAAGGATGGAGGCTGTAGTAGCGTGCATGTAGGGGCTGGACTTTAAAGATGGAACACAAACCAGGAGTTATTCACTCTGCTGCTCATAAAATGCTGGTTTATATGGAGGTGAGCTTTGAAGCAGCGTGATCGTATTTGTTACCACAGTGCCTGGCAACCTCATTATGCACTGCATTATGCAAACATGTAGAAAGAGATGGGCTGCTCCCTGAAAAGCCTGTGATCTCTGTAGACAAGGCAGACTCAGGAGGTGGGGAAAAGGGAGAGAAAAGCCTCGTGCTGCTTGTGGGTTGGCAGGGAATGCATTTCTGTACTCCCATGTGCTGGTTGCTGAAATGCTAAAGCAAGAGATCATGCAATAAAGCTGGGCTGTTAATGTTAAAACCAATCATCTCATCTGACTGTTAAAAATGAGCATGAATTTCTCCGCCCTTCTTCATCCTTGCTTTGCTGGTCTTAAGGCAGATCTAACACCAGCTCTGCTGAATTTGGTGGCGAGACCTTTGACTACCCTACATCTCCTAAGATGAGCCTGGGTTTGCAGGCAAAGGACAGACCAATAGCTGTTCTTAGGTGGATGCATGCTGATGGACTATGTCCCCCAGCTCTGAAATAGCTCAGCCAGGATCTTCTCTGGAAGTGGAGGATAGAAGGCTATTGATCTTGAAATATTTTACAGCGTTTATCAAGAAGTTGTAAACACCAGGTATGTCAGATGGATTCAGTGCACATTTAAAAATAACAGCTTGCCCAGAGAGGAGGTAGATGCCTCATCCCTGGAAACATTCAAGGCCAAGTTGGACGGGGCTCTGAGCAACCTTGTCTAGTCAAAGATGTCCTTGCTCATTGCAGGGGAATTGGACTAGAGGACCTTTAAAGGTCCCTTCCAACCCAAACAATTCTGAGATTCTATGATTCGATTCTAAATAATTTTCAGCCAACTGTGCATGATTTCACATCACCAGCTATTACACTAGAGCCGGTCCCTTCAGGCATGAGAGAGAGCAGGGGCCACGTTTGTATGGAGTCCTACCACACCTGCGATGGACCTGCTACTCCCTGCTGTGACCACGCTTAAGCACCCAGTGTGCCCAATTATTATGCACATCTGCTATCCAGAACTTGCAGAGGCAGTGGAAGGAGGAGAGAAATTCAGAGCATTTACTCTGGTAAATTTACCCTGGTGCAGCAAGCTGATCTCAGTGCCTATTTTTGATATTTCGGCAACACATAAACTGTAAAAAAGTGTTACTAGAATAGACACAGGCTATTCTGTGCTGGTGGCGTCAGTGCCCAGAAACTCAGCTTACCATCGTTAATTATCACAGAAGTACAAATTCCTAAATCTCTCTGTCTCCACCACAGATGAGTGAGGGAAAACAGCCTGTGGGGAACTGCGCTCGGAATATGCCAGCTCCTGAACCCAGCCCAACAACTGCTTGGAAAAGTACTAGTTACCCTGGGCCAAAACCGTAGGCAGGGGTGTGCTAGCAACTTCACAGCCTGGATCACCAGTTTTTAGTGCCAGGCACAATGAATTTACTAATGCAAAGGTACACATGAGGAGACAGGTGCCCTGCTTGGGGTCTGCGTCTCTATTGATTGTAGGGATGGGGGGACGTCTCAAGAAGGTGACCTAAATCTCCTTTCTAGGTCTGGTGACTCTCCATCAAATGTCTGTCTGATAGGGTCCTATGTCACCATGAGCTCATAGTGTCCAAACAGCGCACGGCACAGCTACAACCTCTTAGGGCAGTCGCACTGGAACTGGCCTGATGCTCCAGGATATTTATGTCACTCGGAGATGCTTTATGAATTTATATACTCCTTATATGCAGCAAATAAGTGAGAGGAAAAGCAGCAGCTCGAAGAGATGATTGGGTTGTTTTGGTTTTTTTTTTGTATTCTGGGAATAGTAAATATACCTGTTCTCTTAGGTATCATATCGGTTGCTCATGTAACACTAAAATTAACCCTGACTTGGGGAAAGCCCCTGGAGTTCTGAGACCTCCTTCGTTACTATTTAACATCCCAAGGTCAATTTGAGGGGAAGGTGCCCAAAAGTTACAAATTCCAACTGAAATCTGAAATGAGTCCTGAAAATGATATTTCTCCTTGCTTTGAGAACAGCTGGTCATAGTGGCGTCTGGACCACCACAGACCGCTCCCCACAAAATTAGCTCTGGAAGTATTTCAGGAGCATGCTAGACCTCATCCTAAAAGAGCTCAGCCTGAAAGCTCACCTAAAACCTGACCAAAAGCCTTCGCTTATGCTGCAAGAATGAGTCACAAGCACGGAGTAGCACCAATATGGACATATCAAACAGACACAGCTTAGTCCAGCTCTGTAATTCTTCATCTGAGGTGTTTTCATTG